AAAGAGGGGAATGTGTGATATTTTGTTTGTGTTCTGATAAATAAAGCTTGCATGGAGTCAGAGGGCAGAGCCAGCCACTACTTAACCATAGAGGTTTAGAGGACTGTAGAGAGAGGACAGCAGTGGTAAGTCAGGGCCGAGACAGGATTTTGGCCCTTTTGGATGGAGGAGCAAGATGCCGGCTATTCCTCCGCTTCTCTGACCCTTCAGGTTTGTTTGTTTGGTTGGTTTTTGGTTTTTCAAGACAGGATTTCTCTGTAGCTTTGGAGCCTGTCTTGGAACTCACTCTATAGACCAGGCTGGCTTTGAACTCACAGAGATCCGCCTGCCTCTGCCTCCCCTCCCCTTGAGTGCTGGGACTAAAGGCGAGCGTCACCAACTCCCGGCTGACCCTTCAGGTTTTTAACCCCAATATCTGACTCCTGGTTTTTATTGTTAAGACTAATTATAACAACACTGATCTTTCTGCTGTCCACCTCCCACGCACCAGGACTGCAGGTGTATGTTACTACACTTAGGTCATACGGTGCTGGAGACAGAACTCAGGGCTTCATGTGTGCTAGGCAAGCACCCTGACAACTAAGGTCTATTCCAGTCTTCATTTCTAGACTGTCTATTATGTTATGGAAGTCAATATGCATATTTTTATGGAGTACCATGTAATTTTAATTACTATTGGCTTTGCATTATAGTTCGAAATCAGGTGGCATAATCAGCTTTTTTGTTTTGACTCTTGGGTGCCTTGGGTATTTTTGTTGTTGTTATTATTCCATATTTACAGTTAAGAGGCTAGAGTAATGTCTCAGTGGTTAAGAGTTGTTATTGTTCTCCCAGAGGAAATAGGTTCGATCCCTAGTACCCAAATGGCGGCTTACAATTACCAGTAACTCCAGTTTCAGGGGATATGATGACATTTTCTTGCCACTGGGGGTACCAGACATGCATGTGACAGTTACACAGATGTACACATATATACACACATATACAAATATAACACATACATAAGAAATTTTAGGATTATGTTTTCTACTTCTATATAATATGACTTTGAAGTTTTAATAGAGATGACACACACCTTTAAAAACCAGAGATAGAGACAGGCAGATCTTTGTGAGTTTGAGGTCAGCCTGGTCTATGGAGTGAGTTCCAGGACAGGCTCCAAAGCTACAGAGAAACTCTGTTTCAAAACAAACAACAACAGAGATTGCTTTGCATCTGTAGCTGCTTTAAATCGTGTGCACATTTCAATTCAACAACATTTATTCTTCCAGGATGTGAAGATGGGGCATCCTTCCATTTCTTTGTACAGAGACAATGCTTCCAACAGATATTTATATAAAGACAGAGGATGAAAACCAAGGGTAGGGTGTGTGATGTATGTGTACATGTATGTCCATATGGAGGCCAGAAATTACTGGGTTAATTGTGCTCTGCACTTTATCTTTTGAGGCAGGGCCTCTCACTGATCCTGGAGTCCACTGACTCTGGTCCATTGGCTGCCAGCGAAGCCCAGGGATCCTCCCATCTCTGCATCCTAGAGCTGGAATTACAAAGGCACACCTCTGGCTGTGTATGTGGTGCTGGTGGTCCAAACACAAGTAGGCCTTCTTCCCACTGCCTGCTTATTGTCTTCTGTCCCCCTCAGCTGGGAAAGACAAGGGCATTGCTCTTCCATGTCTGAAATTGTAAAATTCAATGTTTTCATATATTATAAAGTAAACAATGGATCAAGCACGACCAGCATTTTTTAAAACTAGTGATTAAACATAGATAGGCCCAGGATTCTTCATCTAGACCACGCTGCCCTTAAACTTGCAAGGTTCCCCCTGCCTTCTTCCACGTACTGAGATTATAGGTAAGGCACACCAGTATGTTTTAACAATTGAATTGAGTGAAAAAAAATCACAGTGCCTCACATGTAGCAGAAGCATGTTCTGTCATGAAGCTATATCTAAAATCATACATCTATTAACATATTTAATCACCTTTATGCGGCATGTGTTTCTTATGTGTATATTGTATCATAAACAGTGGTTTGCTGATACACGTTTACTATAATGAGCTCTACACGTGTATACATGCATAGATTTTTTTATAAACTTTCTAAAAAATAAAAATCTCTCAATACAAAGACTGGCGCGCGTGACTTCCAAACAGTGAAATATACAATCCTCTTTTTGCTTGTTGTTAGAGAAGGGTAGTCTCATGTATCTCAGGCTTGCCTTGAACTCACTATGTGGCTGAACCTCTACTTTTTAGTATTCTGGGATTACAGGCCTGCACTACCACACACAGTTTATGCAGTGCTAGGCCTTGAACCCAGGACTTCATGCATGCTAGTTAAGCATTCTACCAATTGAGTTACAGCCCCAACTCCCACTGTATTCTTTTTTTGTCAATATAGCTCACTGATGATTGCAATTTTATTGATTTTGGCTGAACATTTGTTTCCATCACCCACCTATGATTTCATTTCAACTACACATTGACAAACGGAGTCATGTCCCAATGAAAATAGTCGATGACAAAATAAAGCCCTGCTTTGTGGCGCTTGCCGATTTCCTTCGTGTAAATACTCCATTGTGGCTGATTCGGGCTTCTTGTGTGACATCTCAGAGGTGGGGAGAGAGCACAGAGGCGTAGCAGGCAGGCATAACAGACGCGAGCGGGCTCACGAACACAGATAAGCGGGGTGTGATGGCACAGGCCTGTAATCCCAGCACACAAGAAGGAGGCAGAGACAGGAAGATGGCCACAAATTTGAAACCAGCTTTCTCTCCATAGTGCGTTCCAGGCCATCCAGGGCCACATAATGAGATCCTGTCCCCAAATAGACAAGCAAGAACATAAATAATAATAAAGTGTAGTAAAATAATTAGAAAGTGACGGGCTTGAGCTTTTATCTTGATTTTAAGTGTTAGTTTATATGATACAATGGCTAAGGAAGGACTTAAGGTTGGGAATCGCTGATGTGGACACCCAGCTCCGCAGGCTAGGAGCTTCGCCATGGGACAAAACTGAGAGATCGCATCACTACTACCTCATGAGAACTCCACCAAGCCTCAGCCCCTAGGACTTTCAGTCAACAGCAGTTGTTTTATTGTTACATTTATTTGTTTATTTGTGTGTTTGTGTGAGTGTGCAAGTATGTGAACAACTTGTGGGAGTTGGTTCCTGCATTCCATAATGGGGGTCCTAAGCATTGAACCCAGCTTATTGGGCTTGGGAATAAGTGTCATTATATGCTGTCTTAGTTAGGGTTTCTGTTGCTGTGAAGACACACCATGACCACAGCAACTCTTACAAAGGAAAACAGTTCATTGGGGTGGCTTGCACTTCAGAGGTTCAGTCTGTTTTTATCATGGTCTGACATGGCAGTGTGCAGGCACTGGAGTGGTAGCTCAGAGTTCTACATCTTACCCAGGCAACAGGAAGTGGTCTGAGACACTGGGCATGGCTTGAGCATATATGAGACCTCAAAAAACCACCCCCACAGTGTCACATTTCCTCTGACAAAGCCATGCCTATTCCAACAAAGCCACACCTCCTCATAGTGCCATTCTCTTTGAGCTTATAGGGGCTAATTACATTGACACCATCACACATGCTTGAGCCATCTCCCCAGGATCACTGTGGTGGTTTGAGTGAAAATGGCCCCGTAGACACACATATTTATAGGCTTGGAAAGATTAGAAAGTGTGGCCTTGGTGGAGGAGGTGTGATGTTTCAAAAGCCCACCCATCCCCAGTCAGCTCTCTCTTGCTAGCTCTCTCTCTCTCTCTCTTTTCTCTTCTCCCTGCCCCTTGCCTGGAAGTTGTGTCTCAAGATGTAAGCTGTGGGATACTATGGCACTACCATGCCTATCTGCCTGCTGGTGGTCATGGACTCACCCATGGAAACTGTGAGCCCCTGTGGTAGTTTGGATAAGGATTTGCCCCTACAGGCTCATACATTTGAATGCTCAGCCACAAGGGAATGAAACTCTTTGATACAAGGATTGGGAGGTGTGGCCTTGTTAGAGGAAGTATGTCACCAAGAGTAGGCTTTGAGGTTTCAAAAGCCCTGGCCAAGCTCAGTGACCCTCTCTCTTTGCCTGTGGGTCAGGGTGTAGTCTCAACTACTTCTCCAGCACGGTGCCTACCATGCCTACCATGTCTGCTGCCACGCAGCCCACATCATGATAACAGACTTAACCTCTGAATCTGAAAGCAAGCCCCCATTAAATGCTTTCTTTTATGAGTTGCTTCCATCATGGTGTCTCTTCACAGCAATAGAAAAATAATTAAGTCATCCACATTTTAAATACAAATACACATATTAATTTAAAATTTAAGTTTAGTTCATTTGAGAGGCCGAGGCAAGAAGATTTCAGGAACTACAAAGTAAAACCCTATCTCAAAAAAACAAAAACAAACAAACAAAAACAAAAAACGAAGTGCTGGCAGGCATGGCGCCATGTACCTTTAATCCCAGCATTCAGGAGGCAGAGGCAGGTGGATCTCTTGAGTTTAAGGCCATCCTGGTCTACAGAGCATGCTCTAGGACAGCCAGGACTACACAAAGAAACACTGATTCTACAAAACAAAACAAAAGTTAATTAGATTTAAAGTTAGTAATTGCTTTGTGGGATTACTTTCCTATAAAATTTATAAAAAATAAGATCTCAAAACCCTATATCCGAACCACGGTAAGGAAGTCCCGAGTCCACAAACTAGCTCTTAAGAAAGATGGAATCCTTGTTTGTATTTTGCAGATAAGATAAGCAAGAATCCCATGGAGGTAGCTATGAGAAACCAAATGATGCTCTGACCGCTGATCTAATCCTGCTAAACTACATTTTCCCCCAACCTCTAGCAAAAACTCCCACAAGCAGGTTGCCCCAACTAAGCGCAACCTACAGTACTCACAGCATGTCGCTTGGGGGCGCTCAGGTTGGAGAGGGAAGAGCGGCGCAGGTAGTTACAGGCCTGCACTCTGCAGACGCCATTCATGGCCACTAGAGGGAGCACGCTCTACCCTCAGAGGGGCGGAGCTTGCGGGAAGCACGCATGCGCCCGGAGGCAAGCGGTGGCACCAGCCTGGGCGAAGGGCAAGACGGTGGCCGAGAGGGTTCCGGGAGACGGACGGTGGCCGAGAAGGTCCGGCATGGAGCACCTGGAGCGCTGCGCGTGGTTTCTCCGAGGGATGCTGGTGAGGGCGGCGGTGCGGCGCTACCTGCCCTGGGCGCTGGTGGCCGCCATGCTGGCGGGCTCGGTCCTCAAGGAGCTGTCACCGCTGCCCGAGTGCTACCTCAGCAACAAGCGCAACGTCCTCAACGTGTGAGTCCTCCAGACTCCGGGTCCCCGCGCCCCAAGAAGGGTTCGCTGCCTGGGTGGGCGAGTCATCGGGAGGGGTCCCTGTCTTGACAGTCGCGTCCGCGCGCGTGTCGCGATGCGGGGACCCTGGGAAAGCGAGTGACACTCGCGCTTTACGTTTGAGGATTCCGATAGGAGGGCCGAGGTGGCGGGCTGGTGGGTGGCGGGCTGGTGGGTGGCGGGCTGGTGGGTGGCGGGCTGGTGGGTGGCGGGGTGGGTTGTAAGTGGCAGTGTGTATGAGGTGCTGGAGCTGCTATCCCCCACCCCACTTCCCACCCCCGCGCCGCCCCAGTCCTGTTTGGGGAGATGTCACCTCCCTTCTGCGGGCTTGTCAGGCACCCTTCTCCTAACCCCTGGGACGGAAATCCCACTGTTGTCTTAAAGCCCACCCCTAGACCCACCCACCCCCCTGAGAGCTTTCCCTCCCGGCTGTACATTAGTAGTGGAGTGAAGCCTTTCGTGCCGGTGACCTTTCTCCTGGATCTCCTTGGACTTTCTCAGTTATCTTAAGTGCTTGGCAGTTGCCCAGGAAAGCAACCCCAGCGGACCTCTATGGGACATCTGTCCAACTCCGCCCACTTCTTTCCCAGTCTTTTAAAATTCTTATATCGAAAGTTTATTGCACAAAACACCATTGCAGCAATACTGGGAGCTTGGAAGCCAAAAATGCTCCTTCCAGTGACCCTAAGACTAGAGTTCCCAGCATGCCGAGAGTCTGCCTAACTCTTGTTACATACCTAAAACCCTGGTTTCCTTTTTGGCAACTGGGTCAGGTTTCTGGCAGAACTTAGCTTTGGCAAGGTTCTCGTTATCAATGCCAGTGAAGGCTTTCATGACAGGCTCTTTGGTGGTGTCTGAGTAACTATTGGAACCTAGCAGAGAGGCTTCTGTCCTTGGCCCACCTTCATCCTTACCCACTTGGTGGCTGGACTAAGAATAGAATATGAGGGTGATAGTTGCCTCGGAGCTCTTTGTGTGTTTTCTGCAGCTCACCCCCCCCTCCCCCAGGCCGGCCACCTTTCTGAGCACAGGGCAGGCAGACATGGCTACTGTTGTTTTATCTGGCCCAATGAACCAGGAGCCCAGCATGCTGACACACTAGTCTGTTGTTTAGGGGTAGCCATGGATTCTAATTTTTGTTTCAAGACATGGTGATAATTAATGGGAGGGGACTGGTGGTGACTCATTGAATCTGGGAGAGATTTGGAGAGCTGCTTGGGTGCTCTCTGCTAGACAGCTAAGGGAACTGAGGCCTGAAGACACAGTAACAAAGAGACTCAGAGTCAGGGCTGGAACCCTGGTTCTGCGGCTTGAAGTAACGCTCTTTCTTATAAGACTTAGACGCCTTGTAGGGAAGAATACTGGTATGGTAGAGAAGGGCTTTGAGGCTAGGCAAAGTGTGGCTCACTCTGCGTTCGCTGTTATGTGTGTGGCCCTGGCAAAGTATCCAGCTTTCTGAGCCCCAAAAATAAGGGACAAATGAGGGTGGGGTTACAACTCAACTGACAGAGTGCTTTCCCAGCATGCACCCCAGGTTTGATCTCCAACACCACATAAAGCCACGTGTGGTGACACAACTGTAATGACTCTGGTGGGGGGGGGACAGAATGATCATTAGGTCAGAACCACCCTCAGCTACACAGGCAGGGTGACCCCCTCCTCAGCCTATTGTGAATATTCTGTGGAAATGTGTGTGAACACATCTGACATTTGATAGATGCTCAGTTATTGCTTTTCCTGAGCAAATAGCACAACTAGGAAATCGCAGGCCCTGGATTTGGACCCCGGTCCACCACTTATCATCTCCACTTTGGCATGACGCATCCATATAGCTCTATGTTGCCTTACAGAGTTACAGATGAACTAAAGCACATGTAATCGTTTTTTAAGGATTTATATACGGTAGCTGTCTGGGTGGACAGCTCTGATCCATTACATTTAACTTCCTTTGGGACCTTACATACCCGAAGCATGGTGACACTATTTCCTGTCTTCACCTACACTTTCTTCCTCTATCAGGTACTTTGTTAAAGTGGCCTGGGCCTGGACAGTCTGTCTCCTTCTGCCTTTCATTGCCCTCACCAACTACCACCTGACGGGCAAGGCCGGCCTGGTCGTGCGGCGGCTGAGCACCCTGCTGGTGGGCACAGCCATCTGGTATGTCTGCACGGCGCTCTTCTCCAACATCGAGCACTACACAGGCAGCTGCTACCAGTCCCCAGCCCTGGAGGGCGTCAGACAGGAGCATCAGAGCAAGCAGCAGTGCCACTTGGAAGGGGGCTTCTGGCACGGCTTTGACATCTCAGGCCACTCCTTCCTGCTGACTTTCTGTGCCCTCATGATTGTGGAGGAGATGGCCGTGCTGGATGAGGTGAAGACAGATCGCGGCCACTACCTCCACACTGCCATCACCACTCTGGTTGTCGCCCTGGGCTTTCTGACCTTCATCTGGGTCTGGATGTTTTTGTGCACAGCCGTTTATTTCCACAACTTGACCCAGAAGGTGTTCGGCACCTTTTTTGGTTTGCTGGGCTGGTATGGGACATATGGGTACTGGTACCTGAAGTCCTTCTCCCCAGGCCTTCCTCCCCAGAGCTCTGGTTTGACTCTGAAACAAGATACATACAAGAAATAAAAGAGAAACAAGTGGGGACAGGGGGACAGCGGCTGGTAGATCCTCCATCTGCTCTGTCCAGTGACTGGCTGGGTCCCACTTGGGAGAGGATGCTCGCCAGGCACTTTTGTGGTGGGTGGAGTCTGGGGACCACGCTCAGTCCTCAGACTCTGCTGGTGATGCCACCCGTGTAGCCAGCACCACTACTCCTGTCAGACACTTCTCATCTCTGGCAAGATGTGACTTTAATCTGTTCCCAGAGGGAGAGCCAAGGCTCGGCAGAGGGACAATAGACAGCCTCAAGGTATGGGGCAAGGGGAAACCAGAGCAACAGGACTCACTCTGCTGTGATCTCCCTGGCTCTGGTTCTCTTGAGTTTAGTGAGTACATTAATGCTGTCCTTTTAACAGTGTTTCCCCGCGGCCGATCCTAAGATGAGCATTTGTCTCTGGCAGGTTCTTTATTAAACACCCCGATGCCTAAAACACACTCTCTGGCTGTAGCATCCACCTCCTCTTTGGAACATTGACAGTTGTACCTGGCTATGACCAGTTCCCAACAGGGGGCCACAACCCTGCAGTGCCTGGATGATTTATATGTAGTGAACAATGGTAAGAGTTTTCTGTCTGCACTGTCTATTGTTACGTGTTGGTTTTTGGAGCAGTAACAGAGAACCCTATTTCCCCCTCTTCTCCCCTGAGTGTGTGCTGTGTGGTTTGTAATTGTCACTGTGACATTTGTGCTTTGTTGACAAAGCCCCAGTACCGCACTTTGGCGTGCAAAAATTGTTTTGAGGGTTTTGTTTTTGTTTTTTAGAACACTAACTTTTTATAAGCTAAACTCCTGACTTATTGCATTAAATTCCACCTCATAGTATTGTTCCCTCTGTTAAGAATAAAACTGGAGCCAGGGAGCATGGTGCTGCACGCCTTTAACCCCAGCACTGAGAAGACAGAGGCAGGCAGAGCTCTGTGAGTGTTAGGCCAGCCTGCTCTATATATCGAGCTCCAGACCAGCCAGGGCTGCAGAGTGAGATCCTGTCTCAAAGAAACAAAACAAAACAAAACAAAACAAAGACAAGAATAAAACTGGAAAGCAGGCATTTCATTATTTAATAAATTTTGAGCCGACAAAATAATTCTGTAAAGTGCTTGTTGGTACTGAGGCTGTTCTGCCCCTCTGTTGGCCCGGTGGTAGACACAGAGTAGGATTCAGGGTCATAGGATCATAGCACAAATACCACAGACAAGGAACTTTTACCTTTGGAGAAGGTTATGATAATTCAGAAGCAAAATGAATGTCTCCCAGCCATATTATACCGCCGCCATGCAAACTTGTCCGTATTACATAGTGGCATGACTTTGACCCTGCCTCCTTTTCCTCGTCCCAGCAACAGAACAAGCTCTGGCATTCTCTGTGCCGCACTTCCCAGCTCCCAGCCATGTCTTTATGTGGCCTTCACTGAGACTGGCTAGGGTTAGAAGTCTTGTCACCCATGTCCCACATGGAAGCTTCCAGTCAGTGAGGGCCTCCCTCTCCTCTCCCAGGCGAGCTCTTAAGCCTGTCACACTGAGTCCCCCGCCCCATCTTTTGGATGCTCACCCTTGTCGATGCTTTGACACCACTTCCCCAGCAGAGCTGGGTAATGGTAAGCTTTGGCCTGCCTGTCCTGACTCCAGCTCAGGTTGTTAGGTGCTTAGTAAGTTAAGAGTAATTCCTTTCTTTCTTTTAATTAATTTATTTTTTTATTTAATTAAAAAACTTAATTTTTGAGTCAGGGTCTCAGTTTCCAGCCCTGGCTGTCCTGGAGCTTACTGTGTGGATCAGGCCGTTCCCAGACTCACAGAGATCTGCCTGCCTCTGTCTCCTTAGTGCTGAGGTCAAAGATGTGCTAATATTAAAGCCACCACATCTGGCTATGAAATAATTTTTGTAATATAAGAACATATTTAAAAATGCGTATCTGATAACCTGTTGAGCTACAGGTCAACTTGGCCAGAGACAGTGTTAGATGTGAGAGGTAAGGCACGCAGTGAGGGGTCACTGCGGGGGCGGTGATGAGTTGCCAGTGAACTAAAAGCCGTTTCACCTTCTGGGGGTTTCCACCCATCTCCCCAGGATAGGAGTGGGCCTGGGGGAGATGGCAGAGCTGGCCACCAGATAGTCTGTCAGGCTTCATGTCACGACAGAGGGGAGCAGCCATGGGGTGCACCCAGAAGTCCATTGTCACATTAAGGCCCCAGGCACCCAGAAGTTCATTTTCCCAGACATTTCCCACCCCCCCCCCCCACATACACACAGGGTCTGACCAGGTTTAACTTTAAACTGACTCCATGTGGGAACTCCAAGTTGCTCAGTGTTCTCTACAAATTAGATGGATAAGCTTACATGTGCTTTTTTCTTGGTACTCCCTGACTTTCTTCTCTCAGTCCCAGGGATGGGAGCCCAGGGTTCTGTGCATACTGGGCAAGCCACCTATGCCCGAGCTACACCCTGAGTTCTTCAGAACCCTTGCCTTCTCAGGAGCATGCCTTCCCTCCTGTGCGAGGAAGCTTGGCATGGGTGAGTGTTTGGGCTTGCGCAACCATGAGGTGTAGGTTTGAATGTTGGCACCACTCTCAACCTACCTGACCGGTGTGCAAGCCTTGCTGACCTGTCTGTAAAGCGGAGACAGTTCTTTTAACACTATGGGAGGTAGCATGTAAGGTGCTGAGCATGTGTGCTAATCAGCTGTCATCTTCAAGTCTTTCTCTTGACAGCATTTAGAATGGTCCAGCTCTTCTAGAGAGAGCAGAGAAAGTAACATCTCTTGGGGAACACTCAGAGCTCGAGTCTCACATTGAAATAGTCTCATGTCATCTTTTACACTGTCTGTTACCCCTAGGTGTTAAACATGAGGCGTTGGGGCTATCTGACCAGAGTCGTGCCATGCTGTCTTGCTTCCATGTGTGGTTTGCTCGCTCACTTCCATGTGCATCTGTCATTGTCTGGGTACCAGATTGTATTTAGAGAATGGCTCATGCCATTGTTATATACACACAGAGCCCATGTGTAAACAAGCAAAATAAAGTACACTGGAGATGATGGAATCTCACATAATGGAGTTTGGTGTATTCCTTTCTGTATTTGTTTTTAATTTAATTTATTTTTTTACTTTAACTGTGGAAGGAGTGGGTTTCAAGTCATCTCTGGCTGTCCTGGAACTGGATCTGTAGACCAGGCTAGCCCCAAACTCTCAGAGATCTACTTCCCTCTGCCTCCCAAGTGCTGGGATTAAAGCCACCACCACCTGGCTTAACTTTAACTTTTAAATTAAATCTCTCTCTCTCTCTCTCTCTCTCTCTCTCTCTCTCTCTCCCTCTCCCTCTCTCCTCCGTGTGTGTGTGTGTGTGTGTGTGTGTGTGTGTGTGTGTGTGTGTGTGTAGGTGTGTGTGCACTAGAATGCACTATGGCACACGTGAAGATAGAGGGAAACTTGCATGAGCTAATTTTCTCCTACCATGCAGGACTTTCAGCTCAAACTCAAACTCAGGCATGGCAGGAAGTGCCTTTCCCCAGGAATCATCCTACTGACCTTGTTTTTAAAACTTTATTATTATTGTGTGTGTGTGATGCGTTTGTGCACATGATCCATAATCTGCATGTGGAGGTTAGAGGACAACTTTGTGGACTTGATTCTCTCCTACCACGTGAGCCCTTGGGATCAATTCTAATCCTTTAGATGTGGCTGCCGGTGCTTCTACCCATGAGCCAAGTCGCTGGCCCAGACTCAGGCCACTTTCTGCCCTTCCTTGAATTATGTTCACAGGAGGCATTTCGTAACTAGTGTCTCTGGCTATTTCACCCAAGTCCTTTGTCCTAAGTACAAATAGCTATCATCCTGCCATACCCTTTTCTCTGTCATTAGATCCAGAGGTCTGGGTCAGCCAGGCCTGAGAGTTGTCCTCTTGGCAGGAGAGAGGTAGGGCTCACAGTCAGAATGCTGAAGAGCAGTGATAGTATACAGGGTAAGGTCACTTTGAAGCCCTGGGACCCTCCACATGCAAAATAGCATGTTGTGCCTTTCCACCCATTTGCTGGCAGCCTGGCCTACTTGGCACCTCTATGCAGTGTGTGTTGAAAGCCCTTCAGATCTGAGATTAGAATCTTCTCACGCTGCTTGGTCCTACAGCAGCAACCAACTCCAAGTTCTGCTGCAAGCTAGGTGCAGACTAGTCTTCACCTCAGGAGGTTTGACTCAGAGCCATCCCCTTCCTAGCTAAAATGGTGTGCTGGGATTATAAAGATGACCATGGCACAGGTCTGCATTTCAGGAAAGAGAGCCCCTGTCACCATCCTGAATGGTGGCTCAAGGTCAGGACCTGGGACCGTGGAACAGAGAACCTGATGCCCTGGGGATCCAAAAACACATTCATAGAAGGTAACATTCCTTTTTGTCTGAAAGAATGGAGAAGAATCCAAACACTCCCACAGGAAAGGGAAGCCAAGGCAAGGATGCCACCTGCAGTCATGTAGATAGTTCCATGACTTCTGTCCAGAGGGGGAGCCTAACTTTCCTCATCTTCAAAAGCCCTGGGAGACTGAAGAAAGACTTAGGCAGTTGGTGGAACCTGCTTTGATCCAAATGGCTCTGGGCTCTGTTAGAATGCCTGGCTCGGGCAGGTTCCACCAATGCGTTTACTGCTGTTCTGTGATCTTGAACTAGTAACAGCATCTCTGGGCCTCGGTTTCCTCATCTGAAAAGCGATGGGTAGACTGGACAACCTTGGTAACCCTGGAATCCACTCTATTCTCAGTTTCTCTGTTTTGCTTGGTGAAAAGTCCCTCCTGAGTTCATCAGGACTTACCTTAGGAAACTCCCACATGGTTTGAGTGGCAGCTGGCTTCCCAGTGAGTGACAGAAGCAAACTCTGGGCTGAAGCTGCTCACCACCCACCTCCTATTTCTCCGCATGAACATCTGGCTGAGTTCTGACATGAACACCTAGGGCCAGATGGGCTTTCTCAGCACAGGGAAGCAAACCTAATTCCCAGCTTAGGCACCACTGGGAACTGTTCTAGTCACCTCTGGGGAATGGCTGGGGAGTTTTACTGTTGAACATATAGGGCGGAGCACAGACACTCTCCTGCCTTAGAACGGGTGGCAGATTGGCAGCTCCTATACAAAAACAATGGCCAGGCAGTATTCACACTTTATGCATGCAGATCTAACCATCTTGAGGTAAGGGATGTGCTATGAAACACCGGAAGGCTTCATGACAACTGCCTGCAAAAATGTCAAGAACCCAGATGCTAATTAGTCACACAATGATTGTAGTTCTTTACTAATAATTGAGCACAGCCACTATGAAGAATGATGTAGGTAGTGTCAACTGTGAAGGTAGGAGATCCGGGCTGTGTCTTCTTGTTCAGGTCAACCTCTAAGCCTGTTTCTGGAGTTAACAGTACCTGGTTTCACTCAACAGACACAGGCTGGAAGGAGAGGAGCCCTGGTGTACTGAGATCTGCCAAGCACGGGGGACACGGCATTAAGGCAGAGACATGGACTTGCCTTGTGGGAGTACTTCTGACTGCATAGGCAATGGAATGAGCGACCCCCAACAGTGCATGGACCATCATGAGCAGAGTGTGCCTCCTCCTGGGACAAATAACCAAGAAGAACTATGTATGGGGGGGGAGGATGTTTTTGTTTTTCGAGACAGGCTCTCATCTCATTTTGTATTTATGGTTGCCAGAACTCATGGAGATCCTCCTGCCTCTGCCTCCCAAGTGCCAGGTTTAAAGATATGTGCCACCAGACCTGATTCATCTTGGCTCCAGGTTTGAGAGGTTTCAGCTCTTGCTGGGGCTGGCTCTATTACTTTGGGCTAGTGGTGAGATGGAACATTGCAGGCAAAATCATTGAAGAGAAGACAGCTTACCCCTGGGAGCCATGAAGAGTAACCCGATGGGCCCAGCCCGTCCACAGTTGGGTGTGCTTGGACACATGTTTGTAAACCTAGCTCTTGGTAAGTGAAATCAGAAAGGGGAGTTCAAGGTTGTCCTTAGGTACATGGCAAGTTTGAGGCCAGCCTGAGCTACATGAAACCCTGTAGTGAGATATCCACCCCGCCTGCACCTGTTGCGCTAACCGCACCCAATGGGGCATGGGGACAGGTGCGGGTGACAGTAGTGTCTAGTTCTGGGGTCCCAGACCCCAGCTCACTCTCTTACTTCCTGGTCGGAGATAGAGAGCATCTGGGGGCATCCTTGAAGCGGGAACCCACGGCAGTCATCTGTTTCTCGTGTAAGTGATTTCTACCTGAATAAACATCAATCAGCCTATATTGTGTTCCAGAAAACAAAACATAAACAAAGGCACACCCTCTGGGATCCGATTGGAGGGTCCTCTAGGCCCCACCTTCCACAGTCCCTCCACCTCCAGGTGATTCGTTTAGATTTGGAGCCCATCAATGGATTGAACCCCTGACAGGTCAAAGTGCACACGGTCTGCTTGTCTTGGTGCTGTCCCGACCTCATAGGCATCTCCTGATCGCTCAGGTTGACAGTCACTGGTTGACCATCATACTGCCATGATGTCACCACTTAGTCAGATACACCCTGCCTAGCGCCATTTACATTTAAAGGAGTGAGGAATTTGGCCCAGAGCACCTGAGTTCATATCCTAACTCTACCCTGAATGCTGGCTGTGTGATGGTGGACTGGTTCCTCGACCTCTCTGTGCCCTGATTTTCATAGGGCTATGGGGATGAATTAACACTGGAGAAGTCACGGCACTTGGGGGCCACTGGATGAGTGGCTCTGGATGCATGTGGAGCCCTAAGCTGTGCCATTGCTGCCACTTCTACATGGGGATGATTTCAATTCTGATGGGCTTCCAGGTAGGTTAGCTGTGCAGTTTAGATGTGGAGAGCCATGTCCCCAGGGTCTAGCTCTAGTCTGATGTCTGGACTAACTACGGGTAGCAGAAAGCAGGGGAGCTGATTTCTGGGACAGCTAACAGAAAGGGACATTGGATCTACGGTGTCCATGTAGCCAGGGTGAAGTAGGGCCATGTTGTCGAAGGTGCTGACAGCTACATGGAGCCGTAGCTGATGCTAGCTCCAGCAGCTTGTTTGGGACTCTGGGTCCGGGAACCTCCTCTCCAAATGCTGCCCCTTGCTGCCTTCTGTCAGGTGTGGCTACCCAGTGTACATACTCGTGAGTGTCTGAGTGCCCAGGAGGTAAGACGGTGAGGCACCAGGGAACTGCCTGGATTAGACCTTCATGTCCAGGAGCAAAGCTATTCAGGCCCTGCCCTAACAGGTTGCAGTAACTCATATCTCCCTTCATGTCTTTTGTTTTCCCTGACTTTTACCTGAACTCTCAGGGCATACCTCAACTGCTGGATGCCCCGCGCCCCCTCAGGTGCCCCGCGCCCCCTCAGATGCCCCCGCGCCCCCTCAGATGCCCCCGAGCCCCCTCAGATGCCCCCTCGCCCCCTCAGATGCCCCCGCGCCCCCTCAGGTGCCCCCGCACCCCCTCAGGTGCCCCCGCGCCCCCTCAGATGCCCCCGCGCCCCCTCAGGTGCCCCTTGCCTCCTGGGGTTCCCCTGTGTACTCATTAGGTTTCCCTATGTATCCATCAGGTGCCCCTGTACACTCATCGGTAACCCTGTGCGCCCCTCAAGCCCCTGTGCACCTCTCAGGGTCCCCTGTGCTGTAGGAGCAAGGAGAGGAAGCAGGTGGGTCAGGCACTGATTTCCAGCTGGTGTGGTTAAAAGCCCTGGGACCCGAGGGCAAGCAGGCAGCATTCAGATGCTATGAGCTTCTCAGCTGTGTGACCCTCTGCAGAACCTTCAACCTCTCTGAGCCACTGTGGGATGACTGTGACACTTTCTGCTGCTGCAGCCTTTGCTTGGCTTGGTACAATCATAGGTGGGTAAACATAAGCTTTACAATGTTGGATACCTATGAGAACCACTTTTTATTGCCTAGTGAATATCTGTCTTGGAAGCCCAGGGACCATAATGCCCAAATGTCCCCCAATAACCCTGAGATGATTTGGTGTCATCCGTATAATAAACCATGCAACATTGAGTAAGGTAAGCGACTGGCATTTTCCA